AGGAAAGAGAGGGTGACGGTCAGTGATTATGGTTAAAATACTCTGTGTGCTTATGTTAACATGGAACAATGAAGCTTTGAGATGAGTTTGGGAAAGGGGGGAGGAGGGAGTAATTAAATTCATATGTGGACACACCAAAATAAAATGCCCCTGTACAACTCACTGATGCTAATAGAAAGTGTGTGTGTGTGTGTGTGCGCGCGCACACGCGCGTGCGCAGGGGAGAGGTAATGTGGGTTAGGTAGCTCCTATTGTCAACAAAACGCAACAGAATGTACATTGGCTTGCGATGAAGAATCTAAGGATAAAGCTCAAAATATGTCCACATAGACAGTCTTGGGCAAGTCACAGGATGATTCAACATATCATGTCCAGAGTTTGCGTGAGGCACCAAAACACCTAGGACGCCTGTGGGATGAGGGGAGGGAGTGGCCTTCCTGCAGGGCCCCAAGACCCCATACTCCTCCCAGAGCTAGAGGAAATCCATGGTGCTTGGAGATGGCATAGGGAGCCAAGGGCAACATGCCTCTCAGGCAATTCTCCAAATCCAGTGCGGCTAAGCAGGCTGAGGAACTATGAGGCAAGGGTAGAGTTCACAAAACCCGAGGGAAACTGCTCCCCTAGCCACCACAATTAGGACGAAGGGCCCTGGATGGGAGCTTCCTGGGGGGTGGTCCTGGACCAGAGGTGAGGTGACAGATGTGTAAGGGGAGGGCCAGAACCTATTCAGATCCCATTTGCTCGCCTGTACATGCTTGGACTATGGGGGCCCACATATGACGGCTCATATGACCCGCCTACTCCTGTCCTTCCAAGGGCAGAAGTCAACACTTCCTAACTCCCCAGCTGTGCACCGGCGCCATCTTCCTGCAGGCTCAGACAAAGCCATGTGCTGTGGGGAATATGACACCATGGAAGGTAGCTCCTCCTCTGCACAGGGCTCTCTTGGGGATGGTCAGGGGCTCCTGGGATCCCTGAAGGGAAAGGGCTCTCTGAGGACGGTTAGGCCTTTGTAGCAGGGGGTGGCCTCTGACCCCTTTGTATAGCTTCCTTCTTTACCTCCTCATCCTCTCTCTTGTGGGGAGGAAGGGCCTCCACACTGGGAACCAACTAGGAGGTGTGATTTGCAAACACCTTTGTCTGTCAGGGACCCGGGACTTCACACAGCAAAGGCCAGACTACAGAGCCTGAAGAGCGGTGTGTTGGTGCCCTCTAGTGGGAGTCAGCTGCCATGCAGCTTCCTGATAGGACCCCAGTACCAGCCATTCCAGCCCTGGGAACACACGGAAAGCAGAATCACAAATGATGTGCCTGGACTGGCCATGGTCACAGCCACCTTCTCCACTCACATGCAAAACACACAGGAGGGCCACATGTGAGTGTGCCCAGGACTGCAGTCTAAGCCCAATTGTGTGGATCTCAGTCCCTGCCCTGCCCTGTACCTTCACAACACAGAAAATTATGACTGGATACTAAGTCTTCATCACTTCCTGCTGCCCATCCCTGATCAGAGGTCTTGGGGAGCAATGCCAGACTCAGATGTAGTGGCGAAGGGACTGTGGGTGCCATGCAATCTGCTGGCTTTCATTCATCCCAGTGTTACTACTCTCCGCTTCTGGACACCACCGCGGGGAGACTGACACAGGACTTAATTACATCACCAACACCAGCTCTTACTAAACCCCTTGTGTGGGTGGGGAGCCACTCCTGGCAGCTGGGGTTCATAGATAGGGGTGCAATTGATCGATATGGATACCTGCCACAGTGCCACAGTGGGGATCTGTGGGTTATTGGTGACACTTTTGCTCTTGGAGTCATGCTCACGGGAAACATGCGTGCACATGCACACAGCGACACATCTGTGGTGTGCACACAAATGGAAACTATGGTGTTATAGGAAGAAGGGCTGAGCCTACTCTCTCCCAATAGTGCTCGCTCACCATTGATTTAGTCTGTTGAGTAAACTGAGGCCTGGAGGGCATGCACAGCTACAGAAGATGTCTACAAGTGGACTCCCCGGATGCCGGTCTGAGCTCGCCACCACGCCTGGACATCAGGCAGTAACAGTCACACCTGGTTTGGGCAGCTACACTGTGGCAGCTGCATACACACAGCCCGGGACCCAAGATTGTCAGCCAAGCTCCTTTATGGCAGAAATGCCCATCACACAGAGACTCACACGGCCGGCAGGAGCAGACATGGTTCACAAGGCCTTACTGGAACTCCTGAGCTCAGCTGGGGGAGTAGAAAGGTCACCATCCTCGTGTTACAGGCAGGACACTGAGGCAGAGTGAAGTGGGCCGTGTCTTAGGAGGTCCACAAAATGGATCAAGGACATGATGTCTAGCCACTGTGTGCTCTCCTTTTCCTTCTGCCTGATCCTGGAGGAGTCGGGGGACAGTGGCCAAGCACGAACAAGCAGCTCAAGGGCCTCGTTCACACAGCACCCAGGAGAGCAATCCAGCTGGCTGCTCCCCAGATCAGCTCTCTCCAGCGGACTTCTCGCAGTAATAAGTGCTGTAGGCTTTATACTCACTGAGCCAGGACTCTACCATTTCAGCCATAACCCCGGCCATTTTTTGGGTACTGTCTTGTATTTTTTTTCTCAGTGTCAGCCTCAGCCCCTGACCCTCTCACGTAATTGGGAGTATAGTTGCGCATCACCAGTTCATCTGTTCATCTGTTGAGTTGTCTGCTCTCAGTTTATTTTCTTTCCATTTGGCTTCAAACCGCCATTCTCCTGATCTCCACCTCTCATCTAGCTGGAGTTACAGGAAGAAGCCATTTTGCCTGGCCACCACGACTGGCTTAGCCTGAGTTAACACTGAGGCCTTTCATTTAGACACTGTGGCCAAGGCCCATTGCTTGTACAGGGCTTGGACAAGGCCCATTCCAATGTTCAGAAAACTTTTAAGAATAGTGTGAAGAACTCATCCCAATTCCCTGTCTATTAAGACATCCATAATTTCTTCTTGGGAACAGTGCATCTACACACCAGCATCTGCTCTTGTTCTAAGCCACCTGAGGACAACTATTCCTCAACTATTCCAGTGTGTGCTTCTCAAAAGCAGGACACTTGCCTGCCTGGCCAGCATCAGTGGCCACGGGGCGGCCCCATTCACTTGACTCAATAAGTTCTCTATTTCTTTCAGGTTCAGCAAATAAAACACTGCCCCCGCCCAAAAGAAACCCCACAAAACTTCAGCATCCAGCAATGCAAAGCTTCTAATATTTGGCATCTAATATAAAATTAACAGATATTTATACCTAAGAGAAACTAATGACCTGGATGTGCAATGAATAGAAGAAGAAAAAACTGACTCGGATGATGCAAAGACTAGAGTAGCAGGGACTGGGAAGGTGGCTCAGTGGTAGAGCGCTTGCCTTGCATGCATGAGGCCCTGGGTTCGATTCCTCAGCACCACATAAGCAGAAAAAGCCGGAAGTGGAATTATGGTTCAAGTGGTAGAGTGCTAGCCTTGAGCTGAAGGTCAGCGCCCACGCCCAGAGTTCAGGCTCTACAACCGACAAAAAAAAAAAAAAAAAAAAAGAATAGGGAAGCACACTGAAACAACTATCAGAAAAGGGCCCTAACTGCTCAAAGACAGAATCAAGCACAAGAAATGGGAGACACAAGAAAAAAGATCCACTTGAACTTCTAGAGATGAAAACCCCAATATCTGAAATAAAATATATACTAGATGGGATTAACAATAGGCTAGACACAGAGAGAAAAAAAATGAGTGAACTTGAAGACATAGAAATAGGAATTATCCAAAATGAAAGGGAATGGGGGGCTGGAAGACTGCTATTAAAAACAAAACAAGAGAGCTGAGCACGGGTGCTCACACCTGTAATCCTAGCTATTTTAGGAGGCTAAAATCTAAGGACTGCAATTCAAAGCTAGCCCAGGAAAGAAAGGCTGTGAGAGGCTTATCTCTAAATAACCACCAAAATGCCAGAAGTGGAGCTGTGGCTAAAGTTTAAACAAAAAAAGCTAAGGGTCAGTGCTCAGGTCCTGAGTTCAAGGCATTGTCCACCCCCCGCCCCAAGAAGAAGTGTTAGAGGCATGGTTCAACTGGCTCAGTGCAAATCCCTGAGTTCAAAACCCACTACCACAAAACAAAAACAAAACAGAGTGCTGAAAAGCCGTGGGGAAGACAGCATCACACGGCTGGAACCCAGGGTGGCAGTGGGGAGAAAAAGAGGAATAAAGGCTGAAGATGTTCCAAATTGGATAAAAGGATAAGCCTCCGGATCTAAGGAACTCAACCAACCCCGAGAGGAAAAGGAATCAGGAAAAACCACACCAAAGCATATCCTGATTGAATTACAGGCCCTTAACTGTACACTGATTGTCTGTTTCAGTGATAGGCCCAGGGTGTGAACAGAGAGGAAATGGGAGGAGTCAAATGGCCACAGGTAAAAGGACAGGGGCCATTCAAGAGAGAAGGGCAGGTGCCAGGGTGGAAGGAGGTGGCGGGTCATTACAGTGGTGAGCTTCTGAGTGTCACAGCTCTGACAGCCTGCACTGGGCCACCCCATCCCTGGGAGGCACCCAGGCCCAGCACTGTTGGTCTCTAGAGATCTGGCTTTAGGGCAGCTCTGCGGAGTGAGGCCTCTTTGTCCCATAGCCTGCCCCATTCTGGGACGGAGGCCCAATCAATGACAGAATCAGCAAGCACTGAAGACACCTGGCCTCTGGCAGGACAACTCCATTTTTCAAAAGCCCCAGCAGCTCTGCAGGGCCACCTTGAGCACCCAGCAGGCAGGGCGCGTACTTCTGTATAGCTTTGGGCCAAGGTGAAAATGTCCAAGTTGGCAAAGTGCCTTGCACCTGACCCATTTCATCCAGGGGACATCAGGCCTGCAGGCATGGTGGCCCACCCGGCTCACCTGCCCCTGCACAGCAGCCCACCCCATGCTGAGCAGGGGGGCAGAGGAGGAGCAGGACCTGGGTGCATGTGAGGCGATGTGAGAAAATCAGTCCCCGCACCTACCTGCCAGGTGGGGAGGACCTTCTCGATGTCGTTCAGGTTGATGCCATCCCCATCTTCCAGTTTCCCCTTTCCACACCTGGACCAGAAAAGAACAGAAAAGCATTGGAAAGTTGGCTCATCCATGCATCCTGTCTCGGCCTGGTAGCAAGAAAGGAGAGAGAGTCAGGAGAGACCTTGCCCTGTCCTTGCTCAAGGCCTGCACAACCAGCTGTCCCACCCTGAGGAAAGGCCTCTGGAGATAAGGGTCCTTCATTCCTAAATGCAGTGCTAAGCCTTCAGGATGGTGAGGTGTTTCCCAGACTGCCCCCTGACCCTTCTAGGCAAAAATGTATACCCCCGGCTGATGCATATCCCAAATTCTGTCACAATGCCTGCTAAAACTCCATTGCACCAAAGGATAACTCCATGAGGCTAAAAAATTTTCTCAAGGTTACACAGTCTGGCAGGGGCTGGAAAAAGGCTCCCTGGGGCACCCTTTCTCCCTGGCTTGACTTTGAGCTAGAGCCAGGCAATGTATGAACTGGATGCCCTCAGGACAGGGCTACCGATCACAAGCCTAGATGTTTTGCCGATTAACAGTGCAGATTAATGGTGCCAGACTGCACGGGTTTGCATCCAGCTTCACTCTTTCCTAACTGGTTGCCCTTGACCCTGTGCAAGCCACCTAACCTCCCAATAGTGCAGGTTTCTCATCCTACAAAATGGAGAAAACAATTGTGCCTTATATGATCAAGTAGCTGGAGTCTTAAAATTAGCATAAAATAAAATAAACAACGGGGTGAATGTACCACTGCTGTGGTGCTGACTTCTGCTACTACAGCCGTCACTGGTACCAGGCAGCGTAGCAGCAAGGAGACCAATGAAAGATAGAGTACAGATATAGCATGGACATCCGGCCTCATGTAAATTCCATTAATTGAAGATCGTAACGCTGACTTGTGGGCCGTATGAACTATTCTGAAATAAGAACTTAGAAGAGTTTTGCATGGCTGGTGCATGAATGGTTAGGAGTTCTATTGGTGATAGTTTATGGATAGTATTGAATGAGGCATGTTGAGGCTTGGCTGTATTTTCCATAGGCAGAGTTGTTAACACAACTCTCACATTTCAGAATCATTCATTTGTTAAAATTTTATCAAACATCACTTCTGTTGTTGGCCCTGTCATCAAAATAAACCAGGTGTAGTTCCTGCCTTCAGAGAACTCAGCGCACTCCATAAGGCAAATTTGAAACTCACTATTAGGGCGTGAACCTGAGTACCACTAGGGGGCAGTACAAGACAAATGTTACAAAAGAGACTCTGGCGGGCAACATGAGCAAGGACTTGCTTGGGTGGAAGAGAAGGGGGATATGACTTCAGGCCTAATTAGATCCCTTCTTTCTTCACTAGATGCTTCTGTGCCAGGATCTGGGCTTGGAGATGGGACCCAGGTTAAACAATATCTGGTACTGGCCGGAGACTCCTGTCCCACTGTCCAGTGGCCGGCACTTCCTCAAGGACAGGTAAAGCACTGCTGGAACCCAGAGCAGCTTGCAGCACTAATTTGAGCAGAGGGGAGGAGGGAAGTAAGATGAGAGAGTGCGCTAGAGGAGGGAATGGCATAGCAAAGCCACCGCGAAAGAGCAGGTGAGTTTACAGGCATGGCAAACTGGACCACAAAGAATAGCCAAAGGCAAGAGAGGCCGGAGAGGTGCGGGTTTGCACAGGTGGAGCTGGGATGGGCAGGTGCATAAGGAAACTATAACCGATCTGAGGGAAAGAAGAAAAGCCAGCCTTCTTCCCTCCAATCCCAACATGCTGGGCTACAGAAGAAGAGAGTGGGAAAGCTGGAACACCCAGTCCTCTTTGAACGGTTAAATCTACCTGGTACCAGCTGCTTACAGCTGCCTGGCTTCTGCACCTGTCACGGCAGAGAGGGCACTGGGGACTTGCTCTGACTGGAATGGCTGACACCCTTCCCCAAGGTTGAATGTGGGTAAAACACACCTGGGAACTCTCCAGGCCTCCAGCCAAGCACATGGCAGGCATGGCCTTTCGGTCCCTCAGTAACCCCAGGGTTGGGCAGGTATAAGGGTCTGTGTGGGGGCCTGGATGCTGCCCCCTTGGCCCACTCTGGTCCCAGCAGAATTCCCTGCAGGGCTGCAGGTGTGAGGGCAGAAGGTGCTGCAGACCAGCTGAGTCACTGAAGCCAGCAGGGTTGCCAAGGCAACAGCCTGCTCTGATTTCTGTCCTTCCATGGAAACACAAGCTGCGGAAAGCTTTGGCAATCAAGTGGTACCCTGCTTCCAAGGGAGGCTGCAGTGGCTGGCTGGACACGTGGAGTCCATCCCCCACACAGCAAGATTCTGAAGGGGACAGAGTTCCTGGCCTAACCACAAGATGGACAGAGAAGATCAGCAGAGGGGGGCGGGGTGGGGCTGGAGGGATAGGATTTTTTTCAGAGCCAGATATCCAGGGGAGATCCCAGGCCCTTCTCAGCAAGCCTGGCCAGCACCTGCTGGGTAGGGAAGCCTGACTGAAGAGTGTAGGCTTGTGGTTTGGTGGGTAAGGATGAGCCATGCTCTAGTCCTTTGACTTTTATCTATTTATATTGGTTGATTGTGGGGCTTGAACTTGGGGCCTGGGCACTGTCCTTGAGCTCCTTCTGCTCAAGGCTAGTACTCTTCCACTTTGAGCCACATCACCACTTCCAGTTTTCTGGTGGTTAATTGGAGATAAGAGTTTCACAGACTTTCCTGCCCAGGCTGGTTTCATACTGTGATTCTCAGATCTCAGCCTCCTGAGTAGCTAGGATTACAGGCGTGAGCTACCAGCGCCCGGCTGACCTTTTGCGTTTAGATTGTTTTTCTGGTGAGTCTTATGTTAACTCTGCAGTGCCTGGCTTCTACATCCATCATTCTAGTACCTCCACTTCTTTCCTGAGTGGTTGGGATTACAGGTATGGACCACCATACTATGAAGAGGAATGCAACACAGTAGAGGGTGAGATGAGCGGCTTCAAGGTCTACCACCACACCTCTGGTTCCCAGAAGCATTGGCACCCCAGGAACATATCAGCATGCAAATTCTCAGCTCCCTAGACCTACTGAATCAGAGACTCTGGGCCTTGCTATGTCTTCCTTCACAAACCCTCGAGGTATTTTGGATACACATTCAAGTTCAAGGCCTCCTTACTGACTTTGTGATAAGCAGGGCTTCTGTGGTGGTTGGAGCAGGCATTGTGGGCTGGGAGGGGGGCTGGGATGGATGGAGAAGACAGTGAGTCTGCAGTTCTGGGACAAGGAGAACGTCCTGGACATTGAGCATCTGTGTCTCCTCCCCTTTTCCCTCCCCCTACAGCAGAACAAAGGTCCAGCCCCCACCCTCCCTGCCGTGAGCATCCTTTGGCGGCCCTTACCCTTCTCTGTCGATGTGCGGCGGGGGCTGCTTGGGTGTGTGCCGGACCTTCCGGTGGAACTGGGTGAAGTCCAGCTTTTCAGGCTGCAGGTCCCAGGTGGCACCACTAGAGGGCGAGGGAAGGTGGCAAATATGAAGCAGGAAACCAGGAGCCATTACGGATGGGAGCAGGGAGGAGGCTGACCTGTGGCCTAATGAGGGGAATTGGTCACCCAGGACAGGGGCTCCCTTAATACCCCCACTCAGAACAGAGCCCGATGCATCAGATATTTACTTTTCCTCAGCCCTACTGCTTGCCAAACAGAGCCCGATTCCAGCTTTACAGAGGCCCCCTGCACCCCTCGATTTGTTCCATGTCTCCATACGAGGAAGGCTGGAGAGGGAATGAGCAGCAAAATTCTGTCACCAGAGTATGTACCAACTGGGAAAATATGGTGACTCAGAAGTGCATGAGGCCGGTGAGGGGATCTAGGGGTCCACTCCCCTGATCCCTGTCCCAGGAAGTGTTCTATGCTGGTGGTTGTGCCTGGTGTGTGTCTTGGTGTGCCTGGAATGTGCCCAGGACTGGACAGCTCTGGGGCCAGAGGCAGCAATGAGCTAAAGAGGGCCACCATCCATTTACCAAAGCCACTCTCCCCCCAAGAGTGGTGGCTGCTGGGTGGGGGAGGCCCTTAGTGCCTGTCAGTGGCACTGTCCCTTGTCCTGACGGAGTCCTGGATGCTCCCGAGTCCCAGTAGGCACCTCCTGGAGTCAGAACTGCCCAATCTTCCCTTCCTACACTTCTCAGGTGTCCATCATGAGCACGTGTGCATTTGACCACCTGAGTCCCTCCCTGGCTCTCCCCCTCTCCCTTTCCGCTGTTTCTGTCTTCCTTCCATGGTATTTTCTCTTGGCTTCCTCTGCCCTTTCTCTTTTCCCTTTGGAGCTCTCACTCTCGTTTTTCTTGCTGTGGGCCCCTCATCCCATCCCCCTCCCTCCTCATGCTTCCCCTGTACCCACCGCTGGTTCCTCTGCTTTTTGGCTGGTGAATTACCACGTTGACACAGCACCACGAGAAAGAACAAGAAATTTACCTGAAGGAATCAAAGGTGTTGGCAGCCCAGATGTCTGTGCCCAGCATGTCCAGGGAGCCGTCTTTGCTGCCATTCTGGAAGAGACAGGGTGACAGGCTGACATTATTTGCTGGGCCAGGACACCGAAAACAAGTGGATAGAGACCACCCCTTGGCCCAAGCCTGCAGGAATCCCTCTTGTCTCCCTCAACAACAACAACAACAAAACCCTGGTCATCTTTCAGCTTAGAAACTGAAATGAGCCACCTGAGTGAGTCCCAGTTGGTGCTCCCATGCAGAGCTTGGGAACCCTGGCTTCCCGTTGGACACTCACCCTCACTTCAATGGTTTTTTATTTTTATTTTGTTGATCATGGGCCTTGAACTCTGGGCCTGAGTGCTGTCCCTCAGCTCTTCAGCTCAAGGCTAGCGCTCTACCACTTGTGCGACAGCGCCATTTCCGGTTTTCTGGTGGTTTATTGGAGATAAGAGTTTCATGGACTTTCCTGCCTGAGCTGGCTTTGAACTGCAATCCTCAGATCTCAGCCTCCTGAGTAGCTAGGATTTCAGGCATGAGCCACCAGTGCCTGGCTTCAATGGGGTTTTACAGAAGTTCACAGTCAGGACTGGAAGTGATCCTTGTCTCTGCTCCCCACAGCCCGTGGCTTTCCCCAAGGCCTACAGAAATGGCATGAGCTCTGTCTGAACCTTTGCCACAACTGCCTGTCTAATGGCTGTGGCTGCTCCCCAGGCAGGAGCTCTGGAAAGCCAGGATACTGGAGCAACCTTTTGGAGTCCAGCCTCACCTCCCGAGAAGCCCCATGGACCAGGCTACATCAGTGCATGCCAGTCTACATACCCCAATATTCCTATGCGATCCAACCCATATACAGAGAACTTTGACTGATGCAGCTTCTATGACTTGGAGGTCTCCATCCCTTAGCTGATGATCTCCCCAACCAAGTATCCAACTCTCTGACTTTATTTTATTTTTGTTTTAATGCCAGTACTGAGGCTTGAACTCAGGGCTGGGTGCTGTCCCTTAGCTTTTTCACTTAAGGCTAGTGCTCTACCATGTGAGCCACAGATCCACTTTCTGATCGCTAATTGGAAATAAGAATCTCATGGACTTTCCTGCCTGGGCTGGCTTCAAACCATGCCTCTCAGAACTCAGCCTCCTGAGTAGTTAAAATGATAGTCATAAGCCACCAGCACCCAGCTCCAACTCCCTGACTTACTCCTAATGCTCTCCATCACCTTTTACCCCTGTCATATGCTGCTGTCCATCAGGCCTCTCAGAAACAATCCCTCCACATCACTCTAGCTGACCATGTATATGTCTCATGACCCAGGAAGACATGTCTACAAAGGACAGAGGACAGAGGAACACATTTACAATCTCCTCCCGGCCTATCAACAGCTAACAAGACAGTAATCCATATATGACATGCACTTTTCTCTCTATGTGTTTTGACCTCCTGTTTAGATTCCTGCTGGTGTCCCAGACTGAATTGTGTGTGTGTGTGTGTGTGTGTGTGTGTGTGTGTGTGTGTCTGTCTGTCTGTCCTGGGGCTTGAACTCTGGGCCTTGGCACTGTCCCTGAGCTTTTGTGCTCAAGGCCAGTGTACTAACACTTAAGAAACAGTTCTACTTCCAGCATTTTGGTAGTTAATTGGAGATGAAAGTCTCACAGAATTTCCTGCCCAGGCTGGCTTTGAATCATGATCCTCAGATCTAAGCCTCCTGAGTAGCCAGAATTGCGAGCATAAGCACCCCCCACCCCTGTGCCTAGCATGGATTAGAATATTAAAGAGCAGTGAAAATAAACAAAACCACACGCAACCACATAAATAAATCTCACAAGCAGAATGTGAATCAAAGAATCCAGATACAAGAGTACAATTATGATTCAACTTACATAAAGTTCAAGAACAAAGTAGGCTATGGTAATGAACTCATATGGTAAGTGGAAGGGAAACCCAGGGGTTCATGGGTAATGTTCTCTTCTTCATCTGGGTGCTCTTTACAATGTTGTACTCAGAGTACTCAAATCCATAGAACTGCACACATGTGACACACACTTGTCCCTGGTAGTGTTTAGTCTTCATTTCTGAGGTTCTCTGTTCTAGGACCCATCATTTCTAAAGACCACTAAACCTGGGATTTATTAGGTCTTTTCCATACACACCCAGGGTCTGGGCAGATATGAGGGGAGGAGTCACAAAGTGTGTGGGAACACACACACACACACACACACACACACACACACACACACACACACACCCCAAAGAATTACAGTACAGCATGCCCTGTGCCCTGATTCATGCCCTGTGCCCTGATTTGGGGCGCTGCAGTGGGATCAAAGGAAAGGCAGCTTTCCCAAAGGAGTCAAGGAAGGACACCCTTCCCTGAGCAGAGGATGAAAGGGGTTCTGGGGCCAGGCAAGCAGAGGGAAAAGGAGGGAAGAGGTCATTATTACTTATATCAGAAGTACACACTAAATAACAACGACAAAGTACAGTGTAGTAAATACACACACTTCCAGTGGTAGGAACTCTGAATTCACACTTGTTGTTTTCCCCTTCCCACACACCTTGCATCCTAGCCTTGAGTCTCAGGATCATTTATTAAAAATCAGAGCAGACTAAGCCGCTAGGCAGTGAGAGCCATCTGCAAAAACTCCCTGGCTCTTAAGAATGTTCTCCATTGCAATGCCGCGGCTGGCCCCACTGATCACAGCCTTTCTCTGAGCACAGCCTCCATCCACTCCAGCCCTGAGATCAGGCAACCCTGTCACCCAGCATGCTGAAAAAGACCAAGGTTCTGAGAAGCCTTATCAAAGACAGTCATCCTTTTCAGTGGATTGTTTTTAGCACTTACAAGCTACTGAATCCTTCACAACAACCCCTTTTACTGGCAATTAGGGGGCCCCATGCCAGGGTGAGCCATGCTGCTCCCAAAGAGATCACAGAGCGGTAATAAGCAATTTAAACCATGTGGAAAAGAACAGGGAAAGAGGCTGCCAGAGAGCTCAAAGCTGCATCCCGAGGGCCTGGCTGCTCTCTCCAGCCTGAGAAAAGACAGGCTTCTCACAGTGCCACAAACAGAGACCACATCAGGGGCAGATTCCAACACAGCTCTCAGCCTAGGGTCACGCCACCCAAACACTAGACATTTATTATAACCCCAGCAGGCAAAGGTTATCATTATCACCCTCCCTTTCCCGGGGAGAAAAACCAAGGCACAGAGAACTCACCTATGTTCTTGAGGTTGGATCCCAGCATGGCTCAGAGCCTGTGAACTTAGCTGCTAAACTACAGGATTCCCTCTTCCCCTCCCCCAACTCCCACCCCCAGGAGCCCACTGCTGAGGCTTCCAGGAAGCCAGAGCACCACCATCCATCCATGGTGGATGCACAGAATCTCTAAACTTAACCCTGATCCTGTTTGGGAAGGCACAGCCCGTGGGGGGGGGGGAGGGAGGGGGGAGGGTTCACTGCCTGCAGAGAAAGGATCTGGAGGGTGTAGTCTTTTTTTTTTGTCAGTCTTGGAGCTTGAACTCTGGGCCTGGGTGCTGTCCCTGAGCTCTTCAGCTCAAGATGAGCACTTTACCTCTTGAGCCACAGTGCCACTTCTGACTTGCTGGTGATTAACTGGAGACAAGAGTCTCACGGACTTTCCTTGCCCCAGCTGGCTTTGAACCACGATCCTCAGATCTCAGCCTCCTGAGTAGCTAGGATTACAGGTGTGAGCCATGGATGCCCAGCCTGGCTTTGCAATGGTTATTTTTTGAAATAGGGGTCTTGCTTGCTGCTCATGTGCAACCTGGACTGCAATTCTCCAATTTTTCTGCTTTCCACTGTAGCGAGGATGATAGGCACACATCACCATGTCTGGCTTCATCTATTGAAATAGTCTTGCACGTCCTTGGCTAGCCTGGAACCACAATCTTCCAGACTTCAGCCTCCTTTGTAACAGAATGAACGATGGTTTACCACCATGCCAAGACTTTGATGCCCAAGCTGGCCTCAAACCAATTCTCCAGATCTCAGCCTTCCAATTAACTAGGATTACAGGCATGAGCCACCAGTTCCTGGCTTACCATGAGGATTTTTATATGTCACAAAATATTCAGGGACCAAAATGACCCCAAAGTCATGGGCTGGGGTAAGACAGAGGTTTCTTGTGAGCCAGATCTGAAACCTCCCAGACCCAAACTGAGGGAGAGGAGAAGGAAAAGGACATCAGAGAGAAAGGGGACAATCATAGAGGGAGGTGGAGGGAAGAGCAAGTCCCAAGGAGAAACAATACTATCTAAGCAATGCACACATTCAGGCAGGACACATATATACATGCACACATGCACACACACACACACACATATGCCTGCATGTATTCAGCACCAAGGACAGAAACCCATGTGTTGGTAAGAAAGAGATATGGGCATCCCACATTTAAATCATCTCCATTAGATGGGCTTTTGAGGCAGAGTAGCAGCCCAGGGACTGGCAAGCACCAGAGCTGAACTCCTCTCATTGGAATGCTTCTTTCAGTCTTCCCATCTTTTCCCACTATGTGACTCAAAATTGAAAGCAGATGAATAATGAAGGTAGACAGAGTTGGAGAAAATTGAAAGATGCTAAAAGTGTGCCAACCTGGTTAGAGTATGGTCTATGCATGTGTGAAACACATGGTGAAGACCCTTGAACGATTAATATAACATCAACAAAAGTGAATATTAAGGAGGTATAACATTGCCCTACCTGGAGTGTGGACACTAGTGAAAGGGGGTGAGTGAAAAGAGCACATGAAGGAGGGTAAATAAATATGGTCCAAATACTTTATGTACATCTGTGAAAATGGAATACTGAAGCTTTTTGAGAGGGGTATGGGAAAGGGGTGAGTCAGATCAAGGTACACTATATGCACATATGAACATGACAAAGTAAAACCTTTTCATACAATTAATTGTTGTTAATTTTTTTAAAAAAATGGGTCACCAGGTGTGGCTCATGCCTGTAATCTTAGCTACTCAGGAGGCTTAGATCTGAGGATCATGGTTCAAAGCCAGCCTGGGCAGGAAAGTCCATGAGACTCT